TTATACTTTTTATTTTCCTTCATTGGCTTATTCAACTCTAAGATTTCTGTTTTGTTCTTTTTTATAATATCTATCTCTTGGCTGAATTTCTCATTCAGCTCATGAATTGTTTTTCTGACTTTTGTTGTATTGTTTGTATTCTCTTGTATCTTGCTGAGTTTCTTTAAGGGCATTATTTTGAATCCCTTTGTAGACATTTTATAGATTTATTTTACTTTTGGATCTGTTACTGGAAAATTATTGTGTTCCTCTGGAGGTGTCATGCTTCCTCACTTTTTAATATTTCTTATGTTCCTGCATTGAAATCTGCGCATATGATTAAACTATCAACTATTCCAGTTTTATGAAATGCTTTCACAGGGAAATACTCTTTCCTGTAAGTGTGTCTTGTAGTATAAATTGGGTTGAGCACTTTGGCTTTTGTTCCAAGGAGAAGTAGTATAGTCTCAATGTGATTTTTTTTGGCTATAATCAATGTCAACAGCATCTACAAGTGCCTCAGTGACCTAGATTGCCATTGTTAGTGGAGATAGTGGTGTGATTTTGCTGAGGGTAGGGACTATCTGACAGGCTGGTTCTCAAACCCTGAGGGTGCATGCCAGGAGCAGAGACTTCACTGGTTATGGGGGTAGCATTGCTGGCAGTAGTGCAAGCCAGGTAGGTCAGCCCCTAGTTCTTGGGGAATGTGCACAGTGTGCAGCAGCTCCAGTAGTCAAGGGGTGAAGTGTGTTTTCTGATGCAAGAAATCTCTGGGGAGATATGATTCTCAACCATATGGTGCTGTCATTTTTTAGTGTACCCAATTTTTTAGAAAAATGTTTGGAATATTCTGTTTTATTTATCTCATCTACTGAACTCAAGCAAATAAGAAAAAAACAAACAAATTAATAGCTCAAAATGCTTTTAAACAGCTAGAATTCCAGCTATGAATGCAATAAAAGAGAACTTACACAACAACTGTGTAATAGCATTTAAATATACACATAGATAAATAATACAATGAAGAAGTGTTTGTTTTATATTGCTTCAGAGACTTCTTATAACAGGAAGTAATCCTTTAATAATTCAAACTCTTCAATTTAGCTATAAATATGTTCAGGACCCTTTCTGAGAAGGCACTGTGCTCTAGCCTTTGTGCAGGTATATAAGTTTTCTAGGACTGCTAGAACAGGTTACCACAAACTACGTGGCTTAATACAACAGAAATGTATCCTCTCACAGTTCTTGAGGCTAGAAGTCTGAAATCAAGGGCTTCTAGGGCTTTGAAGGGCTATGGAAAGGATCTATTGCATGCCTTTCTCTTAGCCTCTGATGGTGCTCACAATCCTTGCCATTCCTTAACTTGAAAATGTATCACTCCAATCTCAGTATCTGCACCTGTTACATGGTATTCTCCCTTTGTATCCATCTTTTCTTTTCTTATAAAGACACCAGTCATACTGGGTTAAAAGTCTACCCTACTCCAGTATGACCTCAACTTAACTTAATGAACTATACCTGCAATGACCCTATTTCCAAATGAAGTCACATTCTGAGGTCCTAAGAAGGACATGTGTTTTGGGGGGGATATTGTTCAACCCAATACATGGGGCTTCTAAAATGAATAACAATTGACTCTACCTTCAGGAAGGCATAGTTTCTGATCTAGCTGGGGAAAATAATGCAACACAATGTATTCAAGTGATAATGGACATAGAATTCTTTGGACACATAAAGGAGTTGCTGATTAGTTGTCACTACATGGTAGCCATAGAACACTTCAAGGTAGAAGTGGTGACAAACCTGAAGAATGACCAGTATACAGAAATAAGAATGCTGGGCATTCTGGACTGAAGTACCAGTCTGAGGAGGCACAGAAGTGCAACTGTGCTTCCATCATGTGGGATGCTTGAGACATCTGGAGTATATAGCTAGAGAACAGCATGGCCTTTGAGTAGTGATTGTGTGTATTACGGTGGCCATTGGGAAGGGATGGAGAATGGAAGAGGGATGAAGTGAGGAGAAAAGAAAGGTGATGGGACCCCCATTATTTATCTCCTTGAATAACCACTGCAGAATGGAATCTTCAGTAATAGGAGTGGAAGTGACCAAGGGGAGTGACTAAGGAAAGGTAAGATGACTGTTCCCTAAGTGAGTTCTAGAAGACTTTGCTGAACTTAGAGGAGTTGTACTAGATGAGCTCTATACTGCATTTTAGCTCTCCAGTTCTGTGATTATTAGGCAGAAATATTTTTTCACTGATCATCTGATATCTCTCTTTAGTTATTATGCTTTTGATTTCTCCTTCCTTTCTTCCTACTGAACACTTTCCATATTCCAGGCACTTGGAGATGCAACAGTAAACAAGAAGACAAAGATAGTATCATTTCAATCTCTTCCCTATAGCATTACCACAAATGATACATAGTAGGTTCTTCTAAATTGAATATGAGTGAGGAAAATGACGAGGCAGTTTTGCCCTGGGCAATAAGTTCTGCTTCAGAGTAGAACTGTTTGAAAGATGATTTCAGGAACCTCTTTATGAGGAGGTGGAGAGTAGGTGGCTGCTTACGTGGTGTCTGATTTCTGAGTCATCAAAAAGGCTCTTTTGCATCCTAAAATATCTCCTCCATGCAGGCTGTGGGTGCTTTTAATTGCATTATTGGAAGTTGGCTTCCCAAGGTTTTCTCCTCTGTGAGAATGTAAATGCCCTGTGGATAGAGGATATCTATTTACCCTCATTTTGCACCTTAATATGAGGGATTTTCTCAGCCTTTTCAGCATAGCAGTTTTTGGAGAAAAGCACAGGGAGGGATGCCATCAGTAAATTGTTTCTAAGTGAACAGTTTGGATGAGACTAACCCGGGGGACATAATCCTTTGGCCTAGAAAAATCCATGATTATCCATGCATTATTCTTACCATTTGTAGTATATATTGGATAAAATTTATTATTTCTCTTATATGTTTTATGGCTACAAAACTGTTTTCCTTTGCTTTGTTTAATAAATCTCACTTCTCCCACTCTCAGCTCAGTGAAACAATTTGTGTGGCAACCTGATTTGTGGTATACATAGACAAAGCTAAGCTACACATGGTTCATATGTTCACATCACTGAAGGGCTAGGTATTTGTATGGGAAAGCCAATGCTAGCTACTGTAACAAATATTCCCCAAAGTTCCAGTGGCTTATTTCTCATTCATATCATAATACAAGTTGATTGTGGGGGAAGGAATGTTCCACATCGTCCTTCATAGTCCCAAGCCCCTGTAACATCTTAAATACATGGTCTTAAGGTCACACTGGCCTCTTCTGGAAGGCTTGCTAGGGAAGGAGGAAGCAAGTTGAAAAGCACACTTATTTTTAACTGCCTTGGCCTGGAAGTGATGCAAATTTCACTTTACATTTCATTGACAAGAGCTAGTCCCAGAGACCCATTCAGTTGGAAGAGGCTGGGAAATATAGTTTAGCTGTGAATCCAGGAAGGAAACTGTCTTAGTGGCATATACTCATTAGACAGCATTTATACGTATTTATTCTGTCTGTGACATACTTGCCCCTTGAGGTGTTGTTATTAAAGGGACAGTAGACAAGACTGAACAGCAGTGACCTAGAAATGGTCTGGTGTTTAGGACAGTGAAAAGTAATTCAGTCTACTTGGTGAAGGACATCATCCTTCCTTGAATTTTTGATCTATAAGAAAAGACAAAGTCTTGGTTAAAAAAATAAGTCTCTGTTTTGTTGTTTATTTGCTTTTTAGTGGAAGTAGGAAAAAACGAATGGAAATTTCCTTTGCATACATCTTGGAATCACCATAGGAGTTTTGGGGTTTAAGCAATATGATTTCTGTAATATGTTTCAATTCTCTTTGGCAATAAGAGTATGTTAGAATTTGGAAAATATTTACAGCTCCTCAATCCTCCCCATCCCCATTGTCTAGATAAGGGAAGTGAGAGATAACAAAATTATCCATATTTACAGCAAGTTAGTGGCTTATGTGGGTCTCAGTCCCGTTTTCTGGATTTCTACTCTGATGTACTTTTTACTACTACTGTGCTGTTCCCTAGAGAGCTACTATTTGGAGAATAGTCACAGCCTAGTGCAATTGGTGGATGCCAGCCAGAAGGGAAGAGGTTCCTTCTAGCTCTTAGATTCTTTGATTGATTGTGTTTAAATAGATAGTGTCTGATTGTATAATCCTGGCCTGACAGAAGTGATGCAGCCTTCCAAGAATTTATGAGTTTCCTGAGGAAAAAGAATCTCAGTTCCTTATTCTTCTCAGCTATTTCTTTATTTTTAGGTATTAAAAACTATATTTGTTTTTAAATACCTTTTTAAAAATTATAAAAGTAATATTTATAATTATAAAAATTAAGTAAATATATATAACAAAAATGCATACAAAATGTAGCAAAAAATTGTGTGTAATTCTGTAACTTGATAATGCAGCAATAACCACTATTAATGTTTTGGTGTGTTTCCTAACCATTTTACAACACATATGCATTTGCATACTTATGCACAATATAATTAAAGTGAAATGCTGTGCAATATTATGCAATATGAAATAAATATTATTCAACCTTTAAAATATTTCATATTCTGAAATATGAAATATTCAATCCTTAAAATATTTTATAGTATGCAATATGAAATATTCAACCCTTAAAATATTTCAGATTATGCAATATGAAATATTATGCAATATGAAATGTTATGCAACCCTTAAAAGTTGTTTTAAAGTAACTAATGATATAGAAAGACGCTCATGTATATTTGTTTACTTATGCACAATATAATTCTATTTGTTTTGTTTGCTACTTTGCTTTTTAATGGAAGTAGGAAAAAGCTAATGGAAATCTCCATTCCATACACCTTGCAATAAAATTCTAATTTTATTTTTTAAGAGTTGCATAATACTGCATCTTATGTATGCTTAAAATAATGGCTGAGATGGGGAGGAGAGGACAGAGTAGTATCTTTGGTTCTTTAGCCCTGATGTTGTACTTCTCTTCTCCTAGGGCATCAGCAGCCTGTTCAGCTCTCTGAAAGTTGTCCGGCTGCTCCGTCTTGGGCGAGTGGCCCGTAAGCTGGACCACTACATTGAATATGGAGCTGCTGTGCTTGTCCTGCTGGTCTGTGTGTTTGGGCTGGCTGCACACTGGATGGCCTGCATCTGGTACAGCATCGGGGACTATGAGATCTTTGACGAAGACACCAAGACAATTCGTAACAACAGCTGGCTCTACCAATTGGCGATGGACATTGGCACCCCTTATCAGTTTAATGGATCTGGGTCAGGAAAGTGGGAAGGCGGTCCCAGCAAGAATTCTGTCTACATCTCCTCGCTGTATTTCACCATGACCAGCCTCACTAGCGTAGGCTTTGGGAACATCGCCCCATCCACAGATATCGAGAAGATATTTGCAGTGGCCATCATGATGATTGGCTGTAAGTATGACAGTGCTGGGGTGCGGTGGTAGGGGCATGCTGTTTGGCCATCCCTTCTGTTCGCTAGAAATAAGGAAATGGTTGCAGTGTAAGCAGGATTAGGGGCAAAATAACTTAAAACAAGCAACAGGTTTTTTTTAGAATAGGTATACAGTTACCCTGATTTAAAGCAGTATATACTCACTTTAAAAAAATTTAGAAAACACAGGAGTATAAAGTAAAAAGTAAAGACCATCCATAATTCTACCTCTTAAAAATAACTATTATTACATTTGGTGGTTTTCCTTATAAACAATTTTCTATGCATATCTGAACACACGGATATAGATTTCTATAAAATTAAAATAATATCATACTACGCATTCAAATTTGGTAAACTGTTAATAGAACAGTGAGTTGTGGAAGTCTTTCCATATAATTTTTTCTTTTTAATAAAAATTGTAGGTATTTAAGATGTACAATGTGATGTGTTGATATACTGAGTACATACATAATGAAATGATTACTACAGTGAAGCAAATTAACATATTCATTTTTTTCACAGTTACCTTTTTCTTTTGGTGAGAGTACTTAATATTTACTCTCTTAGTAAATGCATTACAGTGTTATTAACCATAGTTGTTATGCTACCGTCAATTTAAACATAGCTCTGAATTTGTACAGTTCAGTATGGTATAAGAAAAGGAATGTATGAATAATGAATGCAAAACATCATCTAATTATCTTTTATGTTGATTATATATTAAAATGAGAATATTTTTATATATTGGGTTAAATAAAATAATCTATTACAATTTACCCCCCTTTTAAAAAAATGTGGCTCCTAGGAAAATTTTAAATCTTATTTTTATTGGACATTGCTAGTCTGATCAAAAGTTTTGATAAGAAATTTTTTAACTTAACACACACAGTGGACAAAAGAAGACTCTTGTTTGGTTGAGAAATAATAGGTTATTGGAGTAATTTTATTGGGTTGAAAATCAACTCTAGTTCTTGAGGAAGATACTTAAGTCTGAATCATTTACCCACTGACCATTTTATAGCTATTTCTATTGCTGAGTCTAGAAACAACCTTTTTGATTGCTAACAACAATGAACTCCCTTCATTAAAGGGAGTATGATGTAGGAAAGGACCTAATGAGTGGAAAAAGCAAACAAGTTTGTGTGGATTAGACTCATTGTGAATCTGCCAAATGCTCCCTATTGTTGCTTCAATGAGAAACTGACATGGGAGAGGACAGTCCTCTGGTAAGTTTCAGTTTGTACAGAGTCTGGTTACACAAGAGGGTGCTTAGGTTCTGGTTCCAGTTGGTAGAAGCTGTTTTGCTTGATGCAACCCTTCAGGATGGAGTTGACAAATTAATTGTTACACCAACCAGGGAAACCTAAGGCTTCAGCTTGCCTTGTGCTATCCAATTGACCAGAGATGCAGCATCCAGCTCTGTGAGTGGGTTTTGTTACCTTAAATTGTCACATGAGCTGCTTGCTACCTCCTTTTTCACAACAACCTCAACATGTCTGATGCAGTCCTTTTCATAAAAGCCTTCTCTGCAGGCAAAGTTTGCCTGAGAGTATTTACAGAATGTGTTTAAGGGGGTAATTGATTTGTGGGAAGTGTGTACCAGCGGAGCTTTTGGGTTTGCTCCTTACTTTAAAATGGGTTTTAATAGAGATGATTGCCTGGTCATGGGAAGCAGTGTTAAGGATCTGTGGGTGGCTAATTGCTTCAGCTTAATTAGAACTTGAGGTGCTTTCTCATGTCACAGAAAAGAATTTAAGACCTTTACTCTTCTAGAACTGTTTCAGCCTTAAATGCACCTATTTCCTAGGCACTGAGCACTTGCAGCATTTTTTGTGGGTCTCAGGGCACCCAGTAAACAAGCAAATGCACTGTGCTCAGGGACACGATTTGATTTCCTTCTCTTAGAGGGGGAAATGAGACACTTTGTCAATCAAAATAACTCATTATATCCATTACAGAGAATTTGCTAAGAGTGGTCATTTCAAAAATGGACCCCATTTCCTGGGCTCCCCAGAGGCTTCCAAATATGAGATTTCCCTGCAACTGCTAACCTGGAAGAATAGAAAACAGTTCTAGGGCATATAATAAGAATAAGCAGGTTTTTTTTCTTCCCCCTCTCCAAACTTTTCTTCTATGGAAAACACAATTTCTTGGGTATAGTCTCCAGGGAAAACCTTAGTTATTACCACCTCTTTTCTCTTCCCACTGGAGAGCGTCTGTGATGTTTCTCAGAGTCTGGTGATATTCCCATTTCTTTAAAAAAAAAAAGTGTAATATATGGGTAGTCACCTCTGCATTATGCAGCCAAGAAGGATGTTTAGTGAAGCAAATCTATTTAACACCATTTCCTGAACACTTGTTATTTGCCAGGCACTGTGCTAAAAACTCTACATACGATTTCTACTGCTCGTGAAAATTGTATATGTTAGATATTATTATATCAATTTGATAAGGAAATGGAGACTCATCAAAGTTAACTCACTTTCCCAAGAATGTGGGGCTGATGGACAGGAGAGGCAGGACTCAGATCCAAGCCTCTCTCCTGGCCTAACAAAACAGACTCCAGCAATCTCTCCACACTTACATACTGACATATTGAAAATTCACTCTGCAAACTTTAGCAAGCCAGCAGCTTCTGCAATGGAAACTTTTTCTGTGCTTGTTTGTTGTTGTTGTCATTTTAATTTAACCGCAAGATTAAACGGTACAGACTCAGGGGACTGGATGCTTAGGAAACCAGCCATTTTTCAGCAACCTGTCACTTACAGTTACAGCTGTTCTACTTTCTGTGTGACACACATCTGACAAATTCTTGTGCTAACAAGAAAGTCATTGCACTCCGTGTAATGTGTTGATAATTATCCTTGTAAATTTACATTCCAGACAACTTTTGTTCAGGACAGTTGATGTCTTATTCAATTTACAGGGTTCTCTTTCATCTTGCTTTGCCTGTGTATACACATGTGCACACTTCCTTCCTTCCTGTATGGCTCATGGGATTGGACTGATACCAGATTTTGGATCTCTAGCAATGGGGAGCATTGACCATGGCCTGCATTTATGCTGAGAGCTCAGTGCTGCCTTCCTCCCAGGTCACCCTGGAGATCAGGCCTAGCATTCCTTAAAGGTTAAAAGGAACCACAAATCCAATGGGTTTTTGAAGTACTGGATGTGTTATGATTTTTTTTCTCTTTGTATTGAATTTTACATGCCTTACTAATAGTATTTCTTTTCTATTCTGTTGCAGTATATTAGGCATCATATAGATTATCCACGCATTATGTTGTATCTCCTCTCTGCTCTGAACATCTCATTACAACTTGGCTAATTCCCCCAAAGGATGTCAGGAAGCAGGAAAACTAAATATTTTCCAGCTAGCCCACCTTTTTTAGTTCTGATTTTAGAAAGTTGCATCAGGAAGAGGTGAAGACTGTTGCCTAAAATGAGTTTTTGTGATTAGCTATGGGTTTAGGAGATCTATGATGTCTCCAATTGCCTGGTTTTATGTCTAGTTTCCATTCTGGGGCATGGCCTGGACCAGAGGAAAGTCCATCCCGGCGCTGCTCTTCCCGCCCTCCTTGGTCTCTGGCAGAGGCTCACCTCGGGCTAGCTGCTGAGGATTTGGAGATTACCACCATAGCTGGTGCTCTTGGCAGTCTGGTGGTGGTGGAGAGACAGAGACAGGCCCTATCAACACACCAGCTAGTGACAAAGGCTTGGAGGTGGGCTCTTCACTGTGACTAAGCCTTGCCTGGCCTTTGAAGGATCCCTTAGAGGAGGAAGAATTGTCAGGGAAGAGTCCCTTTACCTTGGAGGTCTCAGTCTCAGGTTAGGGACATGACCTTGTCTGGAGTAGCTCTCCAGGGAGAATTTGATGGAGAAGAAACAGTTCCACTTTCTAAATATGGGCTTTGCATTTTTCTGCCTGTCTCCTCATAATGTCATTGCTGTCATCCTGTCATTATAAGTCAGCTACATTCATTTCCTTTCTCTCTCCTAATGGCGGGGGTCTAGACATCGTACTCCTACTCCAGACAGTCTCCTTCCCCAAGCCTAACATTTGGTCTCCTACTTCAGCACAACACAACACCTGTCTCTTTGAATTCATTTCTTTCTTCTCAGTCTTCCTGTACCTCAGATCCTTAAAACCCTAACTGAATGACAGTTCTAAAGGGCTCTCTTTCTAGTTATTCTACTGGGCCAGATACCATTCTGATCAATACTTCAGGCAATTTTCCCCCCAGGCCTGGGAGCTCCCAGACAGCAACTGGGCCCACCCTTAGTGGTTTCCTTGTAGTGCCTTTTCTCTTGGGAGAAGGGACACTAGGAACCTGCCCCTTGAGCCCACTACCTTACCTACTTATAGCCTGCAATATGTTTTTAGGCCTTGCTTTAGCTTGGATTGTCACTTGCATCCAGACATGGGTTTTCCCCTGCCTCCTTCATCACTTTATTTAAGCATTTCTTATTTCTCTCAATTTGTCCTTTGCCAAATATCCATTTTTGCATTCTATAATAATATACTGGTTTTTCTAAAATAATATGTGTCACAACTGCCTGGAGGCTGTATTGATATCCTTAGGAAACTACCAACACATAGTGAACTCTTAATAAATATTTAATAACTCTTAGAATCTGAACAATTGAGAAGACTTGGGATTTTAGAAGGAGTCTTCAGTGCTATTGACAAAACTGCTCCTTTTTTTTCCTTACAGCATTTGGGTTCTGCTGCTGGACAGAGACCTAATGTAACAGTGGTATCCAGAAGGTTTTTTTTTTTTAAAGTTTAGGAATAGTCTGGCTACTCTACAATTAGCAGAGACCCAGGCTTCTCTGCTATACTCAACACATGACTTCCATATTGGGATCCCATATGGCTGTTTCAACTTCAGCCATATGTTCTTATTCCAGAAAGTAGAAAGAAGGGAAAGGCAAAAGCTGGTTGATCTCCTTCACCTGGGGAATGTAAGATTAGAAA